GTGCCTGGGGGCTGTGCAGGAGCACGCTCCGGAGAGGGGGACAGGGATATAGTGTCGGGATGAGGGGGATACACAAACTGATGATGTTGGGGGTGTGGGCGGGTGATTCCAGCTGCTGTTTTGGGAGGTTGGTGCAGAGAAAAGTACTTTCCCACCAGCATATTGCCATCCTGCAGCTAGTGGCTGTTTAGAGGCTTCACCCATTGCTCCAGGGACCCCCCTGTTGGCATTTCTTTGCTTCCTAAATGCTAAATTCTTCCTGGGAAAGGATGAGGTTGGAAGTGTAGAGGAGATGGTGGTTTGACCTCCTGGTCTGGCAGCACGAGGCTTTTGACAAAATGCCCTCACTGGCCAAATGTGGTGCCCCAAAACCCATCTGTGGGGGGATTTTTGGGGGTCCTTCTGTCCAGAGACACCCGTGCTGGGGAATTGCATCCTTTGAAGGGGGTTTGCACCGTCACCACAGAGTAAAAGCCACCACCCCAGTGGACTGGAGATATTGCCACGGTCCCCTCCTTGTGAGCCATGGGGTGGGACATCCCTCAGTGCCACCACCGCTCACCACCTCTCTGGCTCCACCGGCAGCACATCGCATCCCTCTTCCCTGACGACGTGGAGCGGCTGCGGAGGATGTCCCTGATCGAGGAGGGGGGCAGCAAGAGGATCAACATGGCCCATCTCTGCATCGTGGGCTCCCACGCCGTCAACGGCGTGGCCAAGATCCACTCCGAGATCGTCAAGACTCAAGTGTAAGCACGGGGAGGGAGGCCTTGGAGGTGGTGGTGGTGGTGGTGGTGGTGCCAGGTGGGCGAGGCTGAAGCTGTGCCCTCCTCGTCCTCGCAGCTTCGAGGACTTCGCAGAGCTGGAGCCGGAGAAGTTTCAGAACAAGACCAACGGGATCACCCCCCGGCGTTGGCTCCTGCTCTGCAACCCGGGGCTGGCGGAGCTCATCGCGGAGGTAACGGTGTGGGGGGAACACCCTGGGCCCCCTGACCCTTCCATCCTGACCCCAGGGACCCTGGGGATGCCATGAGAACATCCGACATTTGCACCTTCTAAACCATTTACATCTTCTGAATGGTTGAGGGTTGAGGGGGCGACGGTTGAGGAAAGGGGGTTCTCCCCCTCTGCTCTGCCCTGGTGAGACCCCACCTGCAGTGCCGCCTCCAGCTCTGGAGCACCAGCATAATACGGATGTGGAGCTGCTGGAGTAAGTCCAGAGGAGGCCACAAAGAGGATTAGAGGGATGGAGCACCTCTGCTCTGGAGCCAGGCTGGGAAAGCTGGGAGTGTTCAGCCTGGAGAAGGCTCCAGGGAGACCTTTCAGTGCCCAAAGGAGCTCCAGAAGAGCTGCAGAGGGACTTTAGACCAGGGCCTGAAGTGCCAGGACAAGGGGGAATGGCTTCCCACTGCCAGAGGGCAGGGTTAGATAGAATATTAGGAAGAAATTGCTGGCTGTGAGGGTGGTGAGGCCCTGGCACAGGTTGCCCAGAGAAGCTGTGGCTGCCCCATCCCTGGAAGTGTTCCAGGCCAGGCTGGACAGGGTTTGGCGCAACCCGGGATAGTGGAAGGTGTCCCTGCCCATGGCAGGGAGGTGGAACGAGATGATCTTTAAGATCCCTTCCAACCCAAACCATCCCGCCATCAGCACATGCCTGTGCTCCCGTTGCAGAAAATCGGGGAGGACTATGTGAGGGACCTGAGCCAGCTGACCAAGCTGCACGAGTTCGTGGACGACGACCTGTTCATCCGGGAGGTGGCCAAAGTGAAGCAGGTGAGGGGTGAGGGCAGGGGGTGGCACAGGCCGGGCGGGGGGGCAGAGACCAGGGGCTGAGACACTCCCTGCCCTCGGCCAGGAGAACAAGGTGAAGTTCGCGCTGTACCTGGAGAAGGAGTACAAGGTGAAGATCAACCCTTCCTCCATGTTCGACGTGCACGTGAAGAGGATCCACGAGTACAAGCGGCAGCTGATGAACTGCCTGCACATCATCACCATGTACAACCGTAAGGCACCGGGGCACGGGCTGTCCCCAGGGGTGCACCAGCATCCCTGTGTCCCCCGTTCCCCGGTGACACCGCGCTGCTCTTCCCTCCAGGAATCAGGAGGGATCCTGCGAAGCTGTTTGTGCCGAGGACGGTGATCATTGGGGGCAAGGTGAGTTGGCTCAGGAGTTTTTAAGACATTTTGATGGAAGTCCTTGAAAGTACCCTGGGGGGTGTGGGTTCAGATGCCTCATGGGGCTGTGCCTCTACATCTACCTGCCAGGAGGGTGAAGCCAGGTGGGGGTTGGTCTCTTCTCCCAGGTAGCAAGTGACATGACAGAGGAAACAGCCTCAAGTTGCACCAGGGGAGGTTTAGATTGGATATTGGGAAAAATTCCTTCACCAAAAGGATGGTCAGGCATTGGAACAGGCTGCCCAGGAAAGTGGTGGAGTCCCTGTCCCTGGAGGGATTTAAAGGACATGTGGATGTGGCACTTGGGGACATGGGTCAGTGGTGGCCTTGGCAGTCGTGGGGGAATGGTTGGACTTGACAATCTTAAGAGGGCTTTTTCAACTTAAACAATTCCATCATTCTATGTCCCTGGAGTTCTCCAGGAAGTGCTGGAGTATCCTGGTTAGCTTCAACCCAAACAAGGCACCAGATCTGGGCGGGGGGAGGCTGGGACAACCATATGCTGCCTGTGGTCATGGAAGTCCCCAAAAACATGGTTGTGCAACACGTGTTGGATACGGATGATGGGAGCAGGGCTGAGCAGGTTCTTCCCTGGATATGGGGGAGCTGGGTGTGCCTCACCTGCCCCTGCCACCAGCCCTCGTGGCTCACCTGTGGCTTCTCTCCTTAGGCTGCCCCAGGATACCACATGGCCAAAATGATCATCAAGCTCATTAACGCCGTGGCTCAGGTGGTGAACAACGACCCCATGGTGGGGAGCAAGCTGAAGGTCATCTTCCTGGAGAACTACAGGGTCTCCTTGGCAGAGAAAGGTACCCTGGGCACATTCTGGGGAGGGGATGTCCCTCCACCAGCCCATGGCTCCGTCACTGCCAGGCAGCAGATCCAACATCCTTTGCCGTGATACAAACTCGGAGCTGGTCCCCACGAGCCCCTCGTGTCCCCGTGTTCTGTTGGCAGTGATCCCCGCGACCGACCTGTCGGAGCAGATCTCCACAGCGGGCACCGAGGCCTCGGGCACGGGGAACATGAAGTTCATGCTGAACGGGGCCCTGACCATCGGCACCATGGACGGGGCCAACGTGGAAATGGCCGAGGAGGCCGGGGAGGAAAACCTGTTCATCTTTGGCATGAGGGTGGAGGACGTCACGGAGCTGGACAAGAAAGGGTGAGGGCTGGGGACGCCACAGGGGTGTCACCACGGGCAGCTGGGGCTGCACCATCTCATGTCACCCCTTCCCTCCAGGTACGACGCCCAGCTCTACTACGACCGGCTCCCTGAGCTGAAACAAGCCGTGGACCAGATTAAGAGTGGCTTCTTCTCCCCCAACGAGCCCAACCTCTTCGACGACGTCATCAACATGCTCTTCCACCACGACCGGTGAGGCCTGGGGTGCCATCCTGCCACCCCCTGGGCTGGGTCTCTCCCCTGCAGCAGCCATCCCTTTTCTGGCCCTGATGACCACATCAGGGTGGTGGGGCCGCACTGCACGTGGACGGTGCTCCCCAGGCACAGGCTCTGCAGGGATGGCCCTTCGTGCTTGCTGCAATAACACCTTTGGGTGCCCAGCCCCTCCAGATAATTTTGGGTATTTCAAGGGCTTTCCTGGCCAAAGCACTGAGCAGCCATGGGCATCAGGATCGGAGAAATCTTTTCCCTGGGTGCCCTCCCAGGGCATCCGGGGTTCTGTACCAACAGGGCCTGGGGAGGGGGAATTTGGCTGGAGGATTTGTGTCAGAGGAAGCCCCAGATGAGGCACCATACCATGCTCCCACCTTCCCTTTCCTCGTGCCCCTGACTCCTCTTCTCTTCACTGCTCCAGGTTTAAAGTCTTCGCAGACTACGAGGCTTATGTGAAGTGCCAGGAGAAGGTCAGCGAGCTGTACCTGGTGAGTGCCAGCCCGGAGACAAGGCAGGACGTGTGCTGGGACACAACATCCCAGAGAAGGGGTCTGGTGGGGCTGTGCATGGAGATGGGATCCTGTGCTGCTGGCTGAAAGCCACCCTTGGCCAACAAGCCACATTGTCCCCAGCCTGGGGGCCAACAAGTCCCGCCGCTCTCCTTGCAGAACTCCAAGGCCTGGACCAAGATGGTCATCAGGAACATCGCGGCGGCCGGCAAGTTTTCCAGCGACCGCACCATCAAGGAGTACGCCCGGGACATCTGGCACGTGGAGCCCTCCGACCTGAAGATCCCACCGCCCAACGAGCCCCGGGACGCGGCCCAGGACAAGACCCCCAACGGCACAGCGGCGTAGGGACCCCCCGGAGCCAGGGGCCGGAGCCAGGGGACGGGAGCACGTGCGCTGTAAAATTCTCTGCTGTCTTAGTCTGTGTGTCGCTGCTGCTGGCTTTCCTACGGAGCGGGAACCGGGAAAGGGGCGGGATTTTTATAACGTCAAGTGTCGTGTGGGAAAGCGGAAAAAACCACGTCGCCCTGTTCTGCTTGCATTAGGTGCTAAAAATAAAAAAGTGCCATTGGAGTCCAAGGGGCTGTTTGCTGAAGCCTAAAATTAGGGACTGGGCTTGCTTCCACCGACGTTAACAGCCAGGGATGGGGTGGGCAGCACAGCTGGACACAGCTGGACACAGCTGGACACAGCTGGCTGGGCCCTTGCAGGCGCTGCTGAAGCAAAATATGGGGGTGCAGCCCTTGCCAGCCCTGAGGCACCAGTGCCAGGGGGTTGAAGGGTGTTTGAAGTCAGGCTCGTGTACCCCCACCCCTGATCCATGGGATCCTCCCACTCACAGCTCTGGTGACCCAGACCACACCAGTGTCTCCATCCCTCGAGTCACCTGCAGCATCCTCGAGGCAGGGGGCGAATTAAAAGGTTTTTCAGTAGTTTTTATTACTTACAGCAGTAAGCTCAGTGCCATGTGGGGGTCCTGGAGGGGGATGGAGGGAGTGCGTGGTCGCTGCACGCAGCAGTTGGCGTCACTTCATGTTCAAAAAGTCTCTGCAACAAGATGTAATAAATCTTACACTGTGTCACTGACCCTCCTGTGCTGCGTCAGAGCCTGATTTGTGATCCCTGGATGTGGGGCTGAGCTGGGCTTGGAGCATCTCTGCACCCAGGGCAAAGAGGAGCTGGTGTCCCCAGGGCGACTTCTCCACGACACCCAGGCTGAGGGCAGTGAGGAGTGACTGAAACTCAAAAAGTGATTCCAGCAAACACCGTGGGGAGGGGAAGGAGCAGGGGGAAGACACCTGTGTGGTTGCAGCAGGAGAGAAGGCACCAGCGGGAGAAGAAGCCAAGGCTCATCCTGTGCCCCCCCCATTTCTGTGGAGCAGCACTTACTTCACCAGGGCTGGCAGCTCCGGGTTGGACGAGATGTAGTCGTGGCCCAAGCCCAACTTTTCGGGAAAGGTAATGAACTTCACTTTGGTTTTGTCCTTGTAGGCGCTGCGAGCTGTCTCATAGAGCTGGGGTGGGGAGGGATTGTGGTTAGTGGGACCCCAAACCTGCTCCTGGCACCCTGGGGGTGGCCACCCCCTCTCTGGCCACTTCATCCCTCCAAAGCCAGGCTGGAATGGTGTCCCCCCCCCGTGACAGCCCAGATGGCAGGTCCCCACCTTGCGTCCCAGGTGTGGAGGCACAACACCATCATCTTCTGCATGCAAGATGAGGAGGGGACAGGCCAGCACCTTCACGCTGTGGGCAGCAAGCACAGGGCTGAGGACTCGCCCCAGAGCCAACAGACCCACAGGAGCCTCACCAGCCCCTGCTAAAACTCCCACAGCACCCTGAACCCCCTGGCACTGCCCCTCAGAGCCATCCCAACCCACCAGTGGCACCTACACCGGGTGCCCTGGCGTGCCTATGTGGGTGATACCCACGCTGCCTGCCCTGGCATGGCAGCACCGAGCACCTTAATCACCTTGAACCCAATTAGCAGGTCTCTGGTTTCAAAAGCACCCATAAATCTCTCTGGCATGGGCTGCGGGTGGGACGCGAGTGGGTAGTGCCCGAAAACAGGGATGGTGGCTTGTGGACTTTGCTTAATAATCACACTGATATCCAATAAGTCATGCAAATAAAAAGGCACTTTTGAGGCATGAGTAAGCTGGGTAAACACAGAGGAGTGCAGGCATTTCATGGGGTGACATGACACCTCTCCTCAGCCAGGTGGTCCCGGAATTATCCCGGCAGTGCCCTGGAAATGGCTGCACCCCTTCCCACTGGGAACTCACTTCTCATCGCTCTGGAAGAACATGTCAGCCCGAGCCAGCGAGTCCAGGATGAGGTACCCAAAACCCGGGAACTGGCGGTAGATCTGCCAGGGAGAGAATTTGGGGGGTGCTAAGCCATGGCTTGGGTTCAAGTGTGAGGGGGGGAGACCCAGGTAGCTGGGGCTGACACTGCTGGGGGACCCCACAGGCAGAGCCTGTCACCAACTGGGGACCCAACAGGCAGAACCCACCCCCCTGTCACTGCTGGGTGACCCCCCAGACTCACCTTGGTGATGGGGATGTGGGCAGCTGCCTCTCGGATGTTGGTGTAGGGAGACTCCAGGACAACGGCATCAACCTGGACCCCTGAGAGCAAAACAGGGTGGGAGCACTGGGGGGGCTGTCCCCCCTCCCCAGACTGCTGCCACACTCCCCTCCCAGGCAGCAGCTGTGGGGCCAAGATGTCCCCATCCCACTAAGGAGGACAAGGATGGCCACTTGTCTCCACCACAGGGGCCAAGCCTGATGCTAAAGCAGAGAGTGACAGGGCTCCCCATCTCCTCTGTGGCCCCCAAAATCTGGCCAAGGCTGTGCAGAGCCCCAGGGGGACACCACGTGGGGACAACCCAACCCAGCCATGCTGGCCCTTACCTCGCTCCTCCTGCAGTTTCCTTGCTGCATTTGTGGCAATCCTGTGACAGGGGAGGTGACAGTGAGGGGGAGCAGCCATGACACCCTGGCAGGGTGCACAGCACCCTCAGACTTCCCCCTTCCTGGCTCAGTTTGGCTT